AAATTTCTGACAGCATTGTACTTAATATTAGATAGAATTTTTTTTTAATATAAAGTAAGGGTGACAAACGAACACATAGTCTACCGATCGCTGGCAGTAAAATAAAATTAGAATTTTTTTTTAAAATAAAATTGGATTAAGAAATCAACGGTCACGGTCGAATTTTAAAATTAATGGGAATACTTTAACTCGATATATGTTTTACATTTTTAACATAAATTACGCTTATTGTGGTCACGTTGTATAAATAGGTTCAACAAATAGCATTTTTAGAGTGATAATATGTCATACCCAGTCATTATTTAAAGTTATAATTATTATTTTTTTCATAATTACGATGACAATTATTTTCTGGGGATGAGCTTTTTCAATAATTGGAATATCCATTAACCGCCATTATAGCGGGAACAATTAATCGAAAGATTAACACACGAGTGTTTTTGCTAGCGATATAGTAGATTATCAAGAGAGAATGAAAGAGATATTTATTTGGCCACTTTTTTTACAAATTTTGGTGGGCATTGGCCAACTCAATATAACAATGTATAAAGCATAACTTATAAGCTTATAACTAATCTTAATTATATGCTAACAAGGAAAAATAAATAGTTAAAATTGCAGATAGTTACAAAATATAACAAAAACGATTAGCGTATCTACAAAATATATCCCCATCCTGAAATCTTGCTTGGTATAAAATGGTCGAAATATGACTGAAACCTAGGAAAAAAAAAACTAAGATGCTACATCTTAGCCCTGGTTTTCAGAGGTAACCTTATGATAAAATATTGAAACATAAAGAAGACGTTAAGGTCGTTACTATTTCTTTACAATCTTGTAAGTATTTAATGACAAATTCTATGACTTAGCAATAGGTTTACATTATAGTAAATTAGTTATATTTTAGTCCCAAGTGATGACAAGACTAATTACAAAAGAGGGGAATAGTATCAAAAATTCGAGCTCGCCTATTCGCCTGCCAAGCGAAGTGACAACTTATCCATCTTCTTCACCGAGATTTTTGGATACTTCACTGAGAATTGATGCTGTGTTTCTGAGCAACAGCGATCAACTTCCATCAGTTGGATTGCGTTGTCATTTGTTATCCTTATTTACTAAGAAAATGATTAATCAATAACCAATATGCGTTATTTTTTTGTTTTACGATCGTCTATTCTTTAGTTAGTATTATCGGCGTGAACGCACGTGTGAATAAGCCTTCACAGCAACTACGTCGTTTCAAAATATGTTACATAAGGGCAGTGGAGTAGCGTGCCTTAGACGGGCCCTGTATCAAAATTTGTCGGGGGCCCCAAATGAAGGGTAAAGATTTTTCACAAAAGGAACAAAAACTCTCGCATCGAATTAAAATAATTATATATTGATTATAAGTTATTACTTACAATCAATACTCCTAGGAACTAAGCTAGCCAAATAATTCAAACCAACATCCTGTCCCATAGAAGTCCATAGAATTTTTGCTTACACACGTCCGGGGCCTCTGTAGCCCGGGGACCGCGTATCATTGATACGGCTGATATGGCGGTAGCTACGCGTCGTCCTCATATGCAGATGAAAAAATGAAAAATCGACGCTCCGATTATGGGAAGTAGCGGTTGATAGAGATCAAAGATGTTTCGTCAGGGTACGTCTATTCGTTAGTTAGTATTTTCAAAGTAAACGCACGTGTTTATAGGCCTTTATAATAACTACGTCCTTTCAAAATATGTTACGTCTTCATATGCAGATGAAAAAATTAAAAATTGACGCTCCGATTACGGGAAGTAGCAGTCGATAGTGATCAAAGGCGTTTCGCCGGTTTCAGAGTCTATAACGGTAACTGTCGAAGCTGCCAAAAGTTCGCCGACTGAAAAGTGCCACCGCGAAGTATAAGTTTGTTTCCTAATTGCCGAGTTTGAGCTATTTTAGCCGATACGTCACGGGTTCGTTGACACGGCTTTGTTATCATTCGTAGCGCGATGGATTTATATTTTTTTTGGAATCTGGGTTAGGATATTCGTATTGAGGGGGTGTTTGTAAGATGTCACGTGTTCTAGTTTAATAGATGTGGGTGGTTGCCAAGAGTTTTGGTCAGCTGCAATATTTTTATACTTCATCACGCTTTTGTAATGAATTATTTACATTCAAATGGATTCAAGCGTATGTTATTATAATAATAGAGAGACCGATATTTAGGTGGGTTTTGTGGTTATGAGTCAGTATTTCAACTCACAACTTTTAAGTTCGCGGTCCGCATACATAATCATTAGCATTAGCCTTAATAATTGTAATTATATTGATCGTTGGTACAGTTGATGGTGAGTGATGATGAAGCTGAAGATGGTAAAATGCACTGACTTTGCTTTAAAATAAACCTAGCTCCTATAGATTGCATCATAGGGAAGATTTTTTTATAGTATAGGGTGATAAACGAGCACACAGTTACAACCACACAGATGCGTTGTCACCCGTGAGTACTAACATGGAATTCCTCTTTTCCGGTAAAAAAGTGTCTCCGGATCTCTACTCTCACCATACGAAACACAGCAGCATTAAGCTGCCATTTTGCGCTGGTATTCTGTGAGAGCGTGGTGAACTGTCCTTCCCCGGTCGAGCCGACCCATTCGTGCTACAACTATAGGTACTACTAATATAGCTGCAGCATAGCTCTATCACGTATAAAAAAGATTTGCCATAGATCCCATCCTTGGCAGGCAGGTTAGCAACCGCATGATATTCCCATCAATTATTGGATCTCCTGGTACGGTTCCTCTTACGGCAACAGTGGAACGATATAGGTTAGTGGATATTCTTACACCACCACTACACGGTGCTCGACTAGCTAAGTATGTAGATCATAAGACTCTTACTCTCAAGGCTGTGGGTTGGTGTACTATATTGTCGGATTTAAAGACCGATGCTGGCAAATTATTCTAATCCGTTTCTGTACGCATGACTAACGACGAAGTTTAAATTATTAAGAATAACTCAAAAACTATCGGTTTGACCTTGATCAATGGGACTACATGTGAAGTACCAGCTTACAAATAAAAAAAGAATCATCAAAATCGGTTCACCCAGTAAAAAATTATGAGTAACACACTTAAAAAAACATACAGTCGAATTGAGTACCGTCTCCTTTTTGAAATCGGCAGAAAATATCCCAAAATTTTATAACTTTCTATATTGTTGACTCAACAGTTTGAATTCTAGCTGCAAGTCATGCATTATTTACAATATCAATCATTCCAAGAAGTAGAAACATAAATTAACAAAACACAATTAAAATAACGTTATAGTCATTGTTTATCGACTAAAGAAATCTACATTTGCTCTATAACTTGCTTCCGCGTGCATTTCACTTTGCATGTTTTTTTAACTTCGCGTCTACACACTTACTGCTTGGTTAGGGCTACCTAGTCTTTACAGGGTTATTTTTCAAAGAGCAGCCAAATTTTAAACTTAAGTAAATAATGATAAATCGTTATTGCAGTATTTGAAAATACGAGTAAATAAGGCTTCTAATTTTATTTGAAATTATCTTAAATTGAATGTGATTTATGGACAACAACGTTTTTACCGATCGACCCTTACGAATGTGTGCGTGCGCAGTAAAATCAGTTGAAAGAATGCATTATTACCACGTATTTAGAATTTAAAAGATAAAAAGGACAGAATGTTTGAGATTTTCTAAATTAAATTTTGTTCACCATTTGCCTATATTACTTATTCTGAACCTTCTCTGCAAATTTGGCCGGTTATTGTAAAATAGCCCTATATAATATACTGCACTACTGTATTCTTCTACTATACTAAAATTTTAATAATTAATATACAGTTTTTTTTTTTTACTGAAGAGATAAACGAACTTACAGCCTACTTGCTTGTAACCCGCTACTGCAGATTCAGCCCCGGGGTTTTTCCAACCAACTTCAAACAAAGATACTTCAGATAAGCTATCACCACTGAGGACTATGATAAAATCTATAAGTCTGCATTCTTTTCTGCGTTTTTTTTTATAGGATAATTATGACAAACGAGCACACAGTCCCCCTGATGGTAAGTGGTTGCTGTGATTCATAGACATCTACATCTATCCTCGTATGCGAATCAAAATGCAGATGCGTTGTCACCCGTGAGGACTGAGATGGAATGCCTCTTTTCCAGTAAAAAGGGTCTCTGGTTCTCTACACTCACCATAAGAAACACAACAGTGTTGAGCAGCTACGAGTATTTTACGCTGGTATTCTGTGAGAGCGTGGGCCTTGCCCGGTCGAGTCAACGCATTCGTGCTACTACTATACAGTTAATATAGCTGCAGCATGGCTCTACCACGTAAATGTAAAAATTAAGGTGTTTAAAAAACCTTAAAAAGAAACTATTAAATTATATACAATATTTTTTTTCTTTATCTATTATAGATTATAGTATTTATATAAGATATTTTACGGATTACATCGTGTTTCAATTTAACACGTTTTAAATATACGGTTCGAGTGGCAGATATGGCAGAACATAAAATGTATTGATTGTATTCAGATCAGAGATTGTTGACAGTGCAGAGATGATTGACGTCTTGTTTAGTTTTATTCAAGGTACGTATTCGTATTACTATATTAAATACCAGCGACCTGCCCCGGCTTTGCCTGGATAGGATCCTTAATGTAGTGTTATTTAGTTTTAAGAGAATTTACGTTCATTTTTCCCGACAAAAAATCGATGTTTCTCGGATAAAAATAGCCTGGATCACTTATGACATTCTCTCTATATCATCGAGAAGTTTCATTACAATCGGTTCAGCCGTGCCGAAGATCAGGCCGGACGGACAGACATGCAAAAATTTTGAAAATGGTAATTCACGTAAATAAAACTAAGAAGAGAAACTTAGGAAACATATAAGAAATAATTATGGTTCGGAAGTCGACAGCCCTAGATTCGATCGACCCTTGACTCTGCCAATCAATTACACCTTTTTATTTCCATTTACGTTCATTCCTGATCTGTTTTCATTCATTCAGTCCGTTGAAACATTCCTTAGTCTATTTCATTTCATTTATTTTGTTTTTAGTAAAGTGTTTTGTGAGGAGTCATTCAGTATTATTTTCAGTTACGTGTTTAATTTAGAATTTATATAGATAAGATGTTAAAATGTATGCAAGTCAAATCATTCATCATTCATCCATTCATTCATGTCATTTCCCATATTTTTTTTATTTTTAGTTTTAGGTAATTTATCGCCGTCCGTGATAAGTCATAGTCAATATTGGACTCTTATTTTAAATGTCATTTAGTACTGCAGCAGTTAACTAAAAGAGGGAGCTAATTTGACTTTATCTGTCCGTTTTTAGTTTGTATATTATTTTTTTCTTTGTCATCATCTAGTTGTCTACTATGGAATATGAGCCTCTCTCATTGTAGGAAGAATTTGACGTCGTCGCCACGCATGGTAGCGCTAGACGGCTAAGTGCTGCAAGGCCGCGGGTTCGAATCCCGCCCGGAACAATTGTTATCATAGCTTCAAATAATAGTTCCGGATCTGAATGTGCCCTTGTGAAATTACGTAAATAAACTGCCTCCATGATACAGGGGAAAAGCCTACTGTGGGTGTAACGTTTTAATAACAAAATGTATAAAAATGTCTCACTTTTTCGAGGCTCCATCGCGTTGTCGGTGACCGTATTTTATATCTGGCTTAAAGAGATGGTTTGCATGCCATTTGACCTTTTGCATCATCTCTTACCAAAACCACAATAACAATGAGTTGATTCATATTTCAAAATTAACGTCATGACATCTGAATGCTTGTCGGTCCACCACTGTACGAGTGTGTGATTTATTAGGAGTTTTCTTTCTTGCACGACTTCATTGTGGAATCATCTACTATCGGCAATTTTTCCGGACCGATATAACTCAGACACTTTCCTTCATTATTAGAGAGATTACTCCTTTTTAAAGGCCGGCAAAGCACCTGCGATTTCACTGTCACTTACCATCACAGGAGCCGCATGATTTTTCCCTCCTCTTATATAAAAAGTTAGACCCATTTTTATTAATTCAGTAGAATTTTCCTCATTCATTATATTATCTTTCTTTTAACAGTCAGCAGATGCTTAGTGATAGTATTGTAGATAAGAAATTGATAAATAATGGATTTTATTCCACACACGGCAAAGTTTTTAACCAAATGTTTTCTATTGGTAGAGTCTCTACATGACACGAATTGGTCCGCTCGGCCGACGAAGGACCGCGCTTTCACTGAATACCAGCGTAAAATAGCAGCTCAATGCTGCTGTGTTTTGTATGATGAGTGTAGAGAACCGGAGACTTTTTATAACGACAACACAATATTTTGATTCTTAATAAAAGAAAAGTGTCCATGGGCTATAGCATCCACTTATCGTCAAGTGGGCTGTGCGCTCGTTTTCACCCTTATTATATATAAAAAAATCGGATAATGATATTTTTTTTATAGGATAGGGTAACAAACGAGCACACAGTCCACCTCATGGTAAGTGGTTGCTGTGACCTATAGACGTCTATCTACATTTATCCTCAATAAAGAATCAAAATGCAGATGCGTTGTCACCCGTGAGGACTAAGATGGAATGCTTCTTTTCCAGTAAAAAAGGTCTCCGGTTCTCTACACTCACCATACGAAACACAGCAGTGTTGAGCTGCTATTTTAGGCTGGTATTCTGTGAGAGCGTGGTCCTTCCCCAGTCGCGCCGACCCATTCGTGCCACAACTATACCACCAATATAGTTGCAGCATGGCTCTACCACGAATATTCTTGCACAACCACTACACGGTCGATATGCAACTTTTATATAATTTATTTTTATTACATATCTCCGTTTAACGAAAAGGAGATTGTTTTAAAAATAAATTGCGACACCGAACTAAAGATGCACGGAATAAAGTTGTATTTTAATATCAAACATGCTAATAAATTAGTTTTAAAAGCTTTTTCACGTCCAAAGTCTAAACTAATATCTCTTGATTGTATCAGATGAGTATTCCATTAGATACGGGAAGGTGAAAACGAGCGAGTGTTTACATATACATCTTATGGAGCAGGTTTCCGCAGTACTATTTTTTTCGAACATGGTGACAAGATGGCTGGTTCCTTTCTCATCCAAAGGCTAAGTACCTTTCTGCAAGGAAACGCAGCCAACATTCTCGGCAATAACTCGTGTAGTTAATAGTTTAGTCACATCACCGTAACGTTTAATAATATGTTATGCCGATCCATTTGTGCCATAACTATAATATAGCTACAATGTGTCTCCACCTGTGTTTAAATGGATGTCCGACTGAATTAATCAACATTTTTTTTATAGGATAAGGGTGACAAACGAGCACACAGTCCACCTGATGGTAAGTGTTTCTGTGGCCCATAAACATCTACATCTATCCTCGATTACGAATCAAAACGTAGATGCGTTGTCACCCGTGAGGACTAAGATGGAATGCCTCGGTTTCCAGTAAAAAGGGTCTCCGGTTCTCTACACTCACCATACGAAACACAGCAGCATTAAGCTGCTACTTTACGCTGGTATTCAGTGAGAGCGTGGTCCTTCCCCAGTCGAGCCGACCCATTCGTGTTACAACTATACCAGAAATATAGCTGCAGCATGACTCTACCGCGTAAGAAAAAAGAAAACGTAAGAAATCGCAGATTTTAAACTTATATATTAGATTTTATTTAATCGCATCATACTGAGATACATGCACGTCATAATTTTATCTATACGTACATTGAAATGCACAGTCATAATGGCCTAATTGGATTGCGTTCAAGAATCCGTTACCTGAACAACGGCTCGAGATCTTAACAGGATAAAGACTGAGTTTGCTTGACGATTGAATAAACTGATACTTAGAACAGAACATAAGAGAAGAATCCATCAGTAGATTTAATAATATTTATATATTATTTTATATGACTATTTTATTGGAAGAAACTAATGCTTCGGTGGTTTGGAGATGTATAAAAAACGAAAGGGAAGAATGACAAATCAAATGTATGCGGCAGAAGTGAGTGGCAGAGAATGCGAGGGACGTCCAAGTCGGAAGTAGATTTATCAAATTAGCGATATATTGAAAATGCGCCAAAGACAGTAAATGTACCATATAGTCGACGAGCATGTATGTGTGGACATATATATATGAGAAATAAGGATAAGGTGTGTCAGGATCGCGCCAAATTTGAATGTGAACGAGGCGTGAAAGTTTATGATATGATGGACATTTCCAATATATTTTATTACATCGATTCTAAAATATAAATGTCTTTCTTAATATGCTACTTATAAAGATTTATTTTTTATTCTGAAAAGTTTAAAACCTTTGTATTTTAGGCTTCCATTTTCAAAGAATATTACAATTTCGTTTTGTATACTTACCTCTGAAAAAGTGTGTCACAGCATATTTTTTAAAATTATTAGTTACAATTTAGGAGCATACTAGTCATATATCACAAAAGGGCACCAATTATGACTAATTTTAACTAACAAAGACGTCCATTGCAATCTAAATCGATTAAAAAGATATTAATTAACCGTTTTTATCTTGGACAGACCCTGGATAGTTTTCACCAGAGTAACCGACATAGCTCAACGGATTAGTAAGCTGAAGTAGCAATTGACCGATGGGGAAGAAAGGTTCTCGAATGGCAGCTTCGTACCGGTAGGCAAAGTTTGCAGCGGCCCTCCACTAAATGGAGTAGCGACTAGGTAAGACATGCAGGAAGTCGATGGATGCAGGTGGCTTAGGACCGTGTTCCTATGTTCAGCAGTGGACTTGTGAAGGGCTGTAATGATGACGATGAACTTATTATACCTTTGTCCAATGTTTTACTGATTTTTAACGAATCCATACAAGTTTCAACGAAACCCCATTGTTCATTTAGATTTCTACACGATAATCTAATTATGTAACGAAGAAGTCTATAAAAATCGCGCGATATTATCAGCGCCCAGTTTTCACATTCAATATGCATACAAGCGAGATTATAGTATAAACTTTGGAAATAAATTCTAGACATTTACCATAAATTTAGTATATTATAATAAATTTGCATACGAACTTTATTATCCTGATCTCAATTAAAATTCTTTGTGTTATTGTCACCAGATAAATTCGAATACTGTTCTTAAATATTTATTGAAATTTAGTTAAGGAAAGAGAATCCATAATCCATTTCTTTAAGTAAATTAAATTTAAAGATTTTTTAATGACTATGAAACTGAAGTTACAAACAAACTCAAAGTCCACCTTATGGTAAGTGGCCACTGTAGAACATAGACCTCTGCAGCCAGCTTTAGTGGAAGGAGGCTACAGTTGCGTTGCGTCGTCACCTTTGAGGACTAAGACACCTATTGATAAACGTTACTCAACGAGGAACTCAAGTGCGTAATCATTTGATACGCCCTCATTACGATATCAGCTCCTCAAGAACGTTGCTAATTAATAAACATATCAAAACAGTATTTCAAAACGCTGTACTTAGGAATACTGTTCTGTGACTTGCACTCAAGTACACACACACACACACACACACACAGTCGAGTCGAGTTTTGTTTATTAATCAGTGTGGCACTCAGCTGATATCGTAAACCTAAACCGCATCTTGAGATATGTTTATTAATAAGATCATAACCTCAAGATTGTACTCAAGTGCGTTTACTTGAGATGAGTACCGTTTATTAATACGGGCCTAAGATGGAATTCCTCACAGCTTGCAACTATACTGACTCCTATGAGTTTAGCGTTCAGACCGGAACGCAGTAGTGCAAGCGCTGTTATTTGACGGCAGAAATAATTAAGAAGGCAGTAACACAGACAGACTCCTTTCTAAACAAGTGGTAATATAAAAAATTTGTAAAACCGACTTCAATATAAATTATTAAGGATAACACAAAAACTACTGGTCAGACCTTGGTCAAATTTATATGAGACCACATAAGAAGCACCAGCTTTCAAATAAAAAAGAATCATCGAAATCGGTTCACCCAGTAATAAGTTATGAGGTAACACACATAAAAAAACATACAGTCGAATTGAGTACTGGTTTCTTTTTGAAGTTGATAGAA